GCCAGGCGCCAATGACCAGCGCCTGGCGCCAAGCGCCAGGTCTGATTCCAGGCGCCAATGCCTGGAGTCAGGCTCCAAGCCTGTTTTTAACGCGTTTTTGTTTTTATCATATCTTTTGATCCAGAAGTCCAAATAAGGCATATAATATGTCGTTGGAAAGCTATTAAAGTCTACTTTACAACCCAATTAGAATAAGATTAAAATATTTTGTAGATAAAAAGATATAGCCTAAATAGTGGAAGGGTGTCAGCTTTGGATAAAGTTTCATGTCTCATTCATATCTTTTTCGTTATAATTCGGACTTAATATTATAATATATCATTGAAAAGATAATTTAAATATCTATCCAACCATATAAAATTTGGATAAATATTATGAGGCACGAAAATAAAATCTGAATATATTCCACTTCGTACAAAACAAGGATTCTTGAAAGGAGTAGTTTTATTCAATTTCAAACTCTTTAAAACATAATTATCAATCCTAACTCCATTAGGATTTAAAAGAACCTTCTAGAATATTCTAGAAGACTATAATCAATCCTAATATCTTTAGGAATGATAATTAATAATAGGCCCTCCTCTAGATCATTGGGCCGCATATAAAGCTCAAACCGGGTCCAGTTTAGTATTTTGGCCATAACTTCCTCAATATTCATCGGAATTGGGCTTATAATATATCGTTGGAAAGGTCTTTGCAAGCCCCATCCAACTACACCACTATTAGACCCATATCACGGACCAACCAAACTGGATTGACTGTTTTCTTAAAATAAGTTTTCAAAAACAGGGAGAAGAGAAAAGAAATAAAACTTTCCGCAACACTAGACTTTCCACACTTTCGTTTCATTCGATTATGATTCAACGTGAAAGGTACTCATCACCGGGTTTGGTTTTGGGGAGACACAAATGGGTGTCTACACATCCGCAAGACGATCGGCAAGGGATTTGATGTGATTGCAATAGTCGTCAATGGAGGTGAAATTTTCGAAGTCAAGATCCGCAAGTACTTGTTCAAGGTGTGAGGCTCGGGCTGCTTTGTTGTCCTGGAACATTGACCCGAGACGAGCCCAAGCACCTTGAGCGGTATCATCCTTGAGAAGGATGGCGGTAAGAAGATCATGAGATATTGACCCATAAATCCAATTAAGGACCGCAGCATCGAGTCTTTTCCAATAAGCCAAGTCGGCCTTCTTGGTTGTGTCATATGCAGCGATTTTGGTCTCCTCCGTTGGAGGAATAATGTGATATGTCAGTTCATGAACCCGACATAGCACTTTGAAGAGAGCGGCCCAAGAGTGGTACATTCCGGCAGCGTCCAAGGTAATTGGGATAAGTGATTTCACGTTTGTGATAGCGAAAGAAGGGTGATATTTAGGAGAATCTGCCATTGAATGGTGCAGCGGAAGAGGAAAAGAAAGTTTGAGGAAGAGGAAGGAGATAGGCCGTGAGATAGGGGAAGAGGAAGGATAGGATCGAAACCCTTAATCTGATACCATGAAAGTAATATGATCGTTGCTTTCTCATTGATTATCTTCGGTATAAATACACAAATTACAAGAGATAATCATGCTACTGATTTAGCTATAAATTAGGCTATAAACAAGGCTAATTAATCTACACTAACCAAATTAGTTATATACAAAGTCAAACTAGAATATATTTCCATATATTCTAACAGTATTATAATTGTATTATAAGACATTTCAAAAGCTGTAAATAATATGAAATAGAGGTAGTAAAACGACAATCTCACACTATCACAAGACTACAACTCTACAAGAGCTTTGAGCCTAAGATCGATGGAATCAAAACCAATAGAACAAGATCGAGGTAACGCAAAAATTAGGAGACATAATGCATAAATACAAAAAAGAAAGAAAAAAAAGGATGAACTCACATGAGTCGTAAAGTGGTTGCATTCGACGACGACGTTGTATCCTCATCGATTGAAGGTCCTCCTCAGAGGCTAAAATTAATCAAATCAAAACCAAAATGATAAAAAGTTCATGAAAAAGATTAAGAGACATGTCGAAACAATGCACGCAAATATATAATATCATTGAATGGAGACTCACAATAGTCGTAAAGAAGTTGCATTCGACGACGAATAAGTTGATGTTCAGTTTCATTCATCTGTACAAGTATTACATTTTAACAATATCGTACATAAATTTAACGTATAATTGAGCTTCATATCCTAATTAAATTGAAACCCTAAGATCAAATATTTGAGTAACGATCAATTAAAAATAAAAAAAAAATTAAAAATAAAACCTAGGTTTTGATGCGAAAACAAAATCTTGCATGAAAAGAGGGATATAATTAGGGAGAATTGATGAACGGACACTTGATTTATTTATGTTTTTGGTGAAGACGATCAATTGGAAATTCAATGAAAAAACCTAAAGAAGAAATTAGAAGGCAAGTTAAGTTTGAAATACAAACCTTATTGATTTTCTTATACACGGGAACCTCCAAGCAATGAAGCCAAAGTCTTGCTCGTATGTGTATTAACTTTTTTTTTTCAGTATTTGTATTTGCACCGAAAAAAAGACTAGTTTAGTACAGAGTAGTTTGTATTATTTCAGGATAGCTCCGAATACTTATATATGGGCCTTGAGATTTGTTCGAGGATAACTGCTCCAATGCTAAGGTTTGCAAAAAGCAATACTCCCTTTGTTTATAAATATTTGCTCCATTGTTCTTTTCCGCCCGTTTTTAAATACTTGCTCCATTTCCTTTTTTGGAAAGCTTTTACAATATTTAATTCATTTCTCACACTTGGTGGACACAATATAATATTCTCTCCTCCTATTCTTCCACTACTTTTGCTTTTTACAATTTTTTATTTTCTCAACTACCCTACTACGTCCATACTTTATTACTCTCTCCTATTTCTCCTAAAACTCCGCGCATGGAGAAATGAAGCAAGTATTTAAAAACGGAGGGAGTATATTAGTAAAATTGGTGGTTTGAGAGTGTTTAGGAGAGAGTATTATATTGGTGGACCCAATATAATACTCTCTCCTCCTATTCTTCCACTACTTTTGCTTTTTACAATTTTTTATTTTCTCAACTACCCCACTACCTCCATACTTTATTACTCTCTCCAATTTCTCCTAAAACTTCGCACATGGAGAAATGGAGCAAGTATTTAAAAACGGAGGGAGTATATTAGTAAAATAGGTGGTTTGAGAGTGTTTAGGTTAAGAGAATTGTACCTTAAAAATGAATTATGCTTGGGTATTTATAGAAATCTAAATCCACAAACTGGTGCCACGTGTCGGTCCACGTAGCTAGTATGTCAAGTGGGCGGTGGGTGTCCACGTGGCCGAAAGCAACTCTCCACGTGACCGACTTTGAAGAGCGATATCAATAATGTGCCAGTATAAAAGATAATCCATAAAGACAAGATCCGAGCCGCCCGAAATATATGGATTGTAAATGAGGCATGCATAGGGATGGCAATGGGGTGGGTCGGATGTGAATGATGGTACCTCCATACCCGCCTAAAAAACTTATACCCATCCCCGCCCCACCACCCATGCGGATACAATATCACATCCATTCTTGTCCCGCTAGGTACAAGATAAGATCCATCCCCGCCCCACCACCGAATATCCATATCCACCTCTTACCCACTCTATACCCGCCCCAAAATCGTCCCAAACTCACTACCATGATGTTGTAGTGTATCACATTAATGACAATTATATCAAATTAAGTTTAAAAATTTGGGACTCTTACGGTTTGGGCGGATTGGGCCTTAAAAAGGATATCAAGTTTTATAAATTCTAAACTTTTTTATGAAAATATGGGGCGGGTATAAGGTGGGTACGGGAGGGACGAGTATGGGACGAGTCTAATTTAGAATCCATACCCGCCCCATCACCCGTGGCAGGTACACATTTTATACCCATCACCCACCAAACCTTTCTCCATCCCCGCCCCACTGGGGCGGGTCTCCTATTTAACCCAACCCACTGCCATCCCTAGGCATGTAAGTGGTTGGTTAATTTATGTATTCTAATAATGAAAGTAATATGGAGATCATGAAAGTGATAATTTTGGTAGCGTAAATTATTTTGAGCAGTGCTTTAGAAAAGAGAAAGAAATGATAAATATGGTAGAAAGTTATTAGATGTAAAAGTAATTCATTTTAAAAGACTAATTAAAAAAAAAAAGTAAGTGATGGATCGAAAAGTGATAGAGTATAAAACATATTTTCGGGCCTCAATCGTACCATCAACCTAATCTTTTGGTTGAATTGGTCATTTAACATGGTATTGGAGCCAACGTGACATAGAGAGCACGGGTTCGAATCTCACCCACCCCTCCTTCAAATTGGAATTAATTCGCGCCCGGGTATGGGAGGGCCTGTGCTGCGTCCATATTTCAAGCCCAAATGACCTTTCACGTAAGGGGGAGTGATAGTGTATAAAACATATTAATGGCCCTCAACCATCAACTTAGGCTTTTGGTTGAGTTGGTCCTTTAACAAAAAGAATAATTTTTTTTTATGGGAACAAAAAGAATATTTAAAAAAGGTAAGTTATGCATTAAAAAGAAAAAAAGTAAATGATAGAGCATTTCTTTTTAAATGTAGATTTTAAATAAGGAAAAAGGTATATGTATGCCTTAGGGCTGCATATAAGAAACTAAAAGTGGAAAGAATTGACAATAAATAAATATTTATTACACCGATTTACTCGTGAATTGTCAATAAATTTACAATTTAATAATAAAAAAGAAAGTATGTTAAATGCTTATATGCTATTCTAAGAGTTGTATACAAGATTACCTTTTAAATAACATTTTCTTTCAAAGCGATGAATAGCTATGTAAAGGAGGATTGGTGTAAGAAAAAACGTAAATACAATAGGTCAATAGTGAGGGTGAATGTAAAGGTACAAGTATTATGGGGTGGTACGAAAGATAATAAAATAAAATGTATGTATGTACCAAAATCGAACTGAAGTAGAATGGTAGAAGTGAGTATGTCATGTACATCAAATAAAAAACACATTTGACTATTGACACTATTTATAAACTTAGTCAATACATTTCACACATTACACCATGAAAACCAAGCTTATTATCAGCCAATACATTTCACACATTACACTTGTAAAGTGACCTTAGCTATAGGCCTATAGTACAGGAACAACAATGTTTCTACAACTTGTTCTAATTATAACCAAGCTTACTATGTATTGTAAAATAAAATTTTACAACAGCAGCAACAAAATTAAATTGTAACTATATACTAGAAAAGACCACCTTTTAGGGGTGAGCTCGAAGCATATCCTGCAATTCCTTAACAAAATCATCCATTGATGTGGGAGGCAAGGAAATGGGCACCATAACCATAGTCTCTCCTTTCTTGTTCTTAAAAGATATAAAGAAGCTTGCATCCGGTACTGACCCATTACTAGCCGGCCCTCCGTAAATGGGTTTTCCCCACCCAAAATCCACGTCCGCAAACCCTAGATGCCTAAGGTCAGACACCACGTACGTTTGATGCACCGTGAAATGTGGCCTATTTTTTGTTACCATAAGGTCCATAATAGACCTCATATATTCCTCATTCACATTATTTTTTGTGTTCCTTATTAACTCCAAAATATAGCCAACTTTGTTGGTGCATATATCCCCTGCATTAGCACAGACAGCCGGAAATGCACATGCATTTCCATAGTAACCTTTTTCAAGTGGGGGATCAAACTTGTTCCTCGCGTTAACAGCAAAGAGTAAACGTACCTCGTCCTTAGGGTTAAGTCCAAGTGCTATGGTCCTACACCTCCATAGGGAAGCACTAAGAATGTCGAAGGTGGAGAATTGTTTAGTATGTGGTGGTACATGGCGACGTAGGGCAGCAAGCTCAGTAGGGCCAAAGAGGAAGGATTGTTGAACCAAGTTGAGTTGACCATTATTGGAGTGGTGGTTAGTTTCATGTTGGTCATACTCAGGGTGAGGGAAGCTGATTTTTGGGGATTCTCTAGCGAATAAGCGTTCGCGATCCCAAATAGGGCGGATGGAGGGGGTGGCCAAGCCTCTTCCCATTTCGCCTACGGTGTTCATTAGGTGCATAATGCCTGTTCCGTCGCTGAGCGTGTGGTTTGCTCGAAGGGCCAATATGAATCCTCCGCATTTGAGACGGGTTACCTATCACAAACAAATTCAAATGTATGGATAAAAAAGCAAACAAATTAAATGTACTTGGTGATTATTAATATTCTTTAGATGTCACTCTTTATTTCATTTTAATTGTTACACTCCATATTTCATTTAAGCTAGAAAAATAATTGAAGACCGCTATTGATTAATTAGCGGTCTTCAATTATTTTTCTAGCTTAAATGAAATATGGAGTGTAACAATTAAAATGAAATAAAGAGTGACATCTAAAATATTAAAAAAAAAGGTGCGTGATTATTATGTGTATAAATCCATATTTTGGTGTTTTCTGTGAAATAATTTTACATCAAAATTAAACTTCGCAAGTTTTCCCTCCAATTCTCCATCCCAAATTAACTTAGGTCTTTAAGATTGTAACTAATAATGCTTCTATGAAACAAATTTTTACAAACTTTGATCACAAATTAGAAATTACCATGATCAATTTATATGGGAAAAATAAAAATCAATAATATTTTGTTAGATTTAGTGAACTTTCAACATATCAGCTACGGAGTACAATACATTCAAGTGTATAGTTTTTTAATGTGGAAACCCATTATTTATGCTCAAAGGTGTATTCAAAAGATGTGAAACACGTTTATGTCAATTGATCTGAATCGAATAAAATTGAATCATATTTGTCGCACACTGCACTATCAGTAACTGAAGTTCTTTTGCCACAATATAAGGAAATTTTGACAATTACCACCTTATGTTATGTCCATTTTAGCAATTATCACCTTCTAATTTTTTTTTTTTAAATTACCACCTTCTATTTTCAAAAACATCAAAAGTTACCATATTCTTGCCTCCCACCTACCACATGACGTCATTTTGCGCTTATTCTTTCCCTTTCCTCACTATTTTCCTCACATTTCTCATTCCTAACTCGATTCTCATCCCCCCTTTCACTTTTTTTCCCCCAAACAATCAAAAACACTTCAATTCACTCCTCCAAATCAAAATTGACGAACAATTATTGGTGGTTTGGGGGAAAAAAAGTGAAAGGGGAGATGAGAATCCATATATGAATGAGAAATGTGAGGGAAATAGGGAGGGAAGGGAAATAATGGGCCCAAAATGACGTCACGTGGTAGTTGGGGGGCAAGAAAGTGGTAATTTTTGATGTTTTTGAAAATAGAAGGTGGTAATTTTCAAAAAATAAATTAAAAAAAAGGTGATAATTGCTAAAATGATCATAACAGAAGGTGGTAATTGTCAAAATTTCCACAATATAACACGCGATGTTTATTGGTGCTGCTAGTACAGTGTACTCTTCTAAGATTGTGACTTAGCCTCGCAGTGGCGATTCCAGTATGGGTTCAGTGGGTTCAGCTGAACCCATACTGGATCCGGAAAATTCTGATAAGTTTTCTATGCAAAAAAGTTGAGATAAATATAATATAATGTACAAATATATGTTGAACTTCTAACGCGGCCCAGCGGTTGAAGTCTATTACTTTTTCTTGAAGGTTGCGGGTTCGAGTTCACCTTGCACTATATTGTGATTTTCCTTTTTCTTTTTTCCTTTTATTTTAGGTTTATTTCTTTCTCTTTCTTGTTTTTTTTTTGGGCTTTTATTTTGTTTCTTTGGCTTTTCCATGCTTAATACCCCAATTACCCATTATCCAAAATACCTTAACCATGAAATATGATTACATTGAAGATTCAATTTTTTTTTTCTAGTTCGGATTTGTAGAGATTATAGATATATAATCGTTCCAAAATTTGGAGACTTGTCAAGTTTAATTATAAATTTTTATTATTTTGCACTTGTATTACAAATGTGCACACCCAAATTATCAATTGTAATGTATTTTAAATTATGTTATTTGAATTCATTCACGTACGAAATATGTGTTTAGCAATTTCGAACCCATAACAAAAAATTTATGGAATCTCCACTGTAGCCTGGGCAATTTTATGGAGTTGTAAAAGCCAAATGGTTTAATTTGATGGATTGATCCTTCGTTGAAAAAAGTAAATCAATTGCATTCTGTGATTTTATGTCTCAATCATTCTACCACATAAAATGAAATACTTAGTGGACCACTATTATTAAGTAACATATCATTGTGGGTTTAAAAAAAAATATTATCACTATATTGTGATTTTCCTTTTTCTTTTTTCCTTTTATTTTAGGTTTATTTCTTTCTCTTTCTTGTTTTTTTTTTGGGCTTTTATTTTGTTTCTTTGGCTTTTCCATGCTTAATACCCCAATTACCCATTATCCAAAATACCTTAACCATGAAATATGATTACATTGAAGATTCAATTTTTTTTTCTAGTTCAGATTTGTAGAGATTATAGATATATAATCGTTCCAAAATTTGGAGACTTGTCAAGTTTAATTATAATTTTTTATTATTTTGCACTTGTATTACAAATGTGCACACCCAAATTATCAATTGTAATGTATTTTAAATTATGTTATTTGAATTCATTCACGTACGAAATATGTGTTTAGCAATTTCGAACCCATAACAAAAAATTTATGGAATCTCCACTGAAGCCTGGGCAATTTTATGGAGTTGTAAAAGCCAAATGGTTTAATTTGATGGATTGATCCTTCGTTGAAAAAAGTAAATCAATTGCATTCTGTGATTTTATGTCTCAATCATTCTACCACATAAAATGAAATACTTAGTGGACCACTATTATTAAGTAACATATCATTGTGGGTTTAAAAAAAAAATATTATCACGAACTATATAGAACACGATATATGTCCCTTTCAAATGAATTGAAGATAAGCGTCAAGTAAGCAGCAACAAAATTTAGTGTTTTGAGTGACATTACAGATATATCATATATGTATACGTGTTCGGCAATAACTTTTGGAGTAGCTAGTGTACTCGTTGTATTTTGGCTAAGTTAAAACACTACTTATTTTTTATTTAATTTTTTTATTTAATTTTTTTTTTTTTTGACAAGATAAAACACCACTTAATTTAAAATGTAATGGCTACCTAATTAAATTGTAGAACGTAAAGTCGTGAATGATAGCTTTTAACTTCGAAAATGGTGTTTAACAAAATTAACTTTTAAATTGTACGTGTTTGTCAAAATTAAAAATACTTAGCTTATTTCTTCTTTAAAGTATCATGCACAATAAATTTTTAGTTTATCATTTTAAATCAACTAATTTATGTGGAATACCCGGCCCGCATCAAACAACTAAATTGACAACTCTAAGGAATATAACATATACTCGTATATACTAGCTAGTTGACTATTAACATGTATAACAATTAATCAGATCATACTAGATACTAGTTGACTAATAACATGTATACCAACCTAAGCGGGAGCCAAGGAGGTGGATATGGCTCATACTGCACCTCTAGGTTTCAAATAAAAAGAAAATAGAAAAATTAATTCTCAACCAACAACTAAAGACGAGGTATTAAGATAGCACTGTCAAAACGGTTTGACAGTTCGGGTTCGATTCGGTTTGAAATCGATTCGGTATTAAATCGGGTCGGTTTGAAATCGGTTTAAATGTATCGCGGGTCGGTTTCAGTTCGGTTTAAATAGTTATCGGTTCGATTCGATTTCGGTTTATTCTTGAGCGGTTTTAATTCGGTTCGGGTTGTAAACGGTTCGGTACAGTCGGGTTGCGGTTTGTTAACGGTTTGTTGTAAACGGTTTTTATACCGGTTCAAACAGTTTCGGGTTGGAAACGTTTTCGAGTTAGAAACGGTTCGGTTCTTTTTCGGTTCAGTTTTATTTTGGTTCGGTTTGTTAACGGGTTCGCCTTTTATACAATTTAACGTTATTCGGATCAGTTTCATTTCACTTTTACTAAATTATGGTTCAAAATGGCTTTTTTATTTCAAAAAGTCGGTTTTTAATTGGGTCGTTTGGATTCGGGCAGTTAAACAATTTTGGTTCGAAATTTCATAGTACTTGCTAACTAACCTTTTGCTGGTTAACAAGTTTTATATCAAGCCGAGACTTCATCACTTCATATTTAGGCATTATATTATATACAAATTCTCATCGATTTTAAAAATACGTATCATGTTATTTTCAAGTTTAGTCATACTGATGTTACTAGTTTATTACGAAGTAACGTAGATTAAAAAATTAAGTGTATTAATGAATTATTATTGTTTTACTATCACATTATTAGTTGCTTCTTATTCAATCATGTAATTGATGTGTCATAATCATGATTTGATGAGTTATTGTGAGATCGAAATTGCAGTTTGATTTATAGACAGTTCAGTTTATAAACGGTTCGGTGCAAACGGGTTGCAGTTTGTTAACGGTTCGGTGTAAACGGTTTTTACCTCTGTTCAAACGGTTTCAGGTTGGAAACGGTTTTGGGTTAGAAACGGTTCGGTTCTTTTTCGGTTTGGTTTGATTTCATTTCGGTTTTAAACTGGTTCGGGTTGTTAACGGGTTCGGTTCTTATACGGTTTGACATTATTCGGATCGTATCGGTTTCGGTTTTACTTAAATACGGTTCGGGCCGGTTTTCAGTTTTACAAAATCGATTTTTAATCGGTTTGGTTCTCATTTGGATTGATTGGTTTCGGGCAGTTAAACGGTTTCGGTTTGAAATTTGACAGCACTAATTAAGAATCATGTTTTATCTTCATCCCCATGCCAAGGGCGGAGGGAGGGGGGGGGGGGCTGGTGGAGGCCCGGACTCCACGGCCCAAATTTGTAGCCTATGTTTATAACTTACGCCCCTATAAACTATTATATATATTATTAAAGATTCACGAGTATTGTTAAACAAAGTTTGTAAAGTTGGTTGAGGGACGAACCATTCTCATAAGGGAGCTGAGTTTGTATCCTACCCGTGACATTTTCGTGGTTGGCCATATCGTGTGGCCGGTTGAGACAAACCCAAACACATATCAAGTAACCCCTGACCGTTTAAGTAACCCCTGATTGATTAAGTAACCCTTGACCAATCAAGTAATTCTTGACCAAATAATCCCGACCACACACTATAACCAGCCACATATAAAACTTTATGGAATAAATATTATCTTTTTATATTACAAATTTTATCTAAATATGAGAAACAAAGTTAATAATTCATTTTATAATAAAGAAATTCGAGTGGTAAGCAAGCGAATATCACAAAGTTTATTTAATAAATACATATTAATATAATATTTTATATTTGAAAAAATACAAACAAATCATGCATCGTACGATTTAGTAACTTAATAAGAGGGCAATCATATTCTAATTTACTAGCTTATTCAGTAGCATAGCAGGTATTTTTTTTTTTTTTTTTTAAAAAAAACATCTTATTTATGATTTTTTTTTTTAAATTATGTGTCATTCAATTAATATAATTCTTTGTGCAATTTACATGATTGTGATTTAGTTGCTTACTTGGTTAACATGTTAATTTTATTTAATAATTAGGGCTTTTATTTATATTTTTTTTATTGAATGTGCCTTTAGGCTAATTGCTTGCATTTAATATGAAATACCAAGCTTGTAGGGTTATATTCTACCCTTTTTTTTTTTTGAACTCGCTACTATTTAATTTGATAATTATTGTTTTTATATAAAAATAGGTTAAATCATGAAATCAAGAACACTATTTTTTTTTATATATAAAAAGCTAATAATCAACAACAAGAGGGTTCCACTTCAAAGGAAAATTTTAATTTTTTTTTCAATTAATTTTTTTGTCCATTAAGTCCGGCATCCATGCCATCCTAGTTTTAATCTGGATTCCGAATTTATACCATTTTTTACCAAACAAATAAAGTATGTTTTTTGGTATGAGAAAAATCAGAGTTCTTTGCGTTTCTTCTGAGATTTTGAGTGTGCATGCAAATTTATTCCACTTTAGTGATGTTGAACTAGTTGACAAATTTCATTGTGTTTGTTTTAGACTTTTAGTATTCTTTAAAATTTTGAACTTTGTGAGAGTCACTGAGTCAATGTATATAAATTTAACTAAAATGTTTACTACATCTATTCGCTAGATAGTTGACATATAACCCACTATTGATAGACTATTTATAAATATGAAGTTGTATGATAATTTGTTTTTGCTTTTGAATTATTGAACATATTATTACTTATTTAACAATAAATTAATCAGTAGACCTTTTTATAACTATAACTATTTGAATCTAAATGTTTTAAAGAATATATTATTCTATAACTTATTTTTGTGGCCAACATATATACTAGACTCATTCATCTAGAACAAAATTGATAAACTAAATTATTCCTATGAGTAATTGGAAATAAAGTGGAGTTAATAAAAAGGCCCTGTTACTAAAGTTTGAAAATTACCGAACTATATATAGTTTTAGAATCATAATCATACTATAGTTTAAAAATTATCAACAATCATTGTACAAGCTAGTACCACACACATAAAAACCTATGTATTATATTTATTATATTATCGAATTCAGATCAATTAAGGGTGTAAAGCTAGCTAGGGATCATACAGGTCTGACTTGGAATGGATCCTGCTACTAGATCCAATTTTGTTTTCAGTACGTAAAATATTTAATACAAAGTACCTGAATTATGAGCAAAGGAGTTCCTAGCATTCTATTAGTGCCAGGAATGTCATAAAGCAACTCCTCCAAGGGGAATGGAGGATGAATCTCATCACCAAAATCCTCGAGTGTTGCATTTGCCTCAGCCTCGATGAAGGGTACCCCCTCACCGGTGCAATCAACAACGAGTTTTCTATTTGGTCCCTCTACTAGCCTACCGGCATAAGGGTAGAAAAACACAAGAGCCTTAGCTAGCCCATCCTTTACAACCTTCACCGGGTCTTTCCCATGCATGGAAGAGTCAGCCCGGTAAAACATAGTAGCTGGCATATGAAATCGGAGTCCCTCTTGATCATCGATTTCTGAAAGTGGTTTTAGTTCTCGTGGTGTAGGCTCAGCTGGACACACCAGCTTCGGCTCCCCTCGTGTTACATTTAACACTAGGGGAGTAGTGTCTTGCGCCATAAGAGCCATAATGATCAATTCTCAAGTATTTTGAAATTAATTAGTGTGCTACGTGAAAGCTATGACTATAACATTTATAGATGTAAGTTGTAGAAAATAGGCTAGTTAATTACGTCTAGATATATGCATGGAATATTATGTGCATGTTTTGTTTTGTGTTAGGTGCATGGAGTAACGCTATCATTAAGATCACGTCATATATCATATATTATACGTACTAATATTAATTTATGTGTTACTAGTAGTGCTGTCAAATTTCAAACCGAAACCGTTTAACTGCCTGAAATCAACCGATCCAAATGAGAACCGAACCGATTTAAAACCGATTTGGTAAAACCGAAAACCGGCCCGAACCGTATTTAAGTAAAACCGAAACCGATCCGATCCGAATAATGTCAAACCGTATAAGAACCGAACCCGTTAACAAACCGAACCAGTTTAAAACCGAAATGAAATCAAACCAAACAGAAAAAGAATCGAACCGTTTCTAACCCGAAACCGTTTCCAACCCGAAACCGTTTGAACAGAGGTAAAACCGTTTACACCGAACCGTTAACAAACTACAACCCGTTTGCACCGAACCGTTTATAAAACGAACTGTCTATAAATCAAACTGTAATTTCGATCTCACAATAACTCATCAAATCATGATTATGACACATCAATTAGATGATTGAATAAGAAGCAGCTAATAATGTGATAGTAAAACAATAATAATTCATTAATACACTAAACTTTTATAATCTACGTTACTTCGTAATAAACTAGTAACATCAGTATGACTAAACTTGAAAATTACATGATATATATTTTTAAAATCGATGAGAATTTGTGTATAATATAATGCCTAAATATGAAGTGATGAAGTCTCGGCTTGATATAAAACTTGTTAACCAGCAAAAGGTTAGTTAGCAAGTACTATGAAATTTCAAACCAAAATTGTTTAACTGCCAGAATCCAAACGACCCGATTAAAAACCGACTTTTTGAAATAAAAAAACCATTCAAAACCATAATTTAGTAAAAGTGAAATGAAACTGATCCGAATAACGTTAAATCGTATAAAAGGCAAACCCGTTAACGAACTGAACCAAAATAAAACTGAACCGAAAAAAAACCGAACCGTTTCTAACTCGAAAACGTTTCCAACCTGAAACTATTTGAACCGGTATAAAAATCGTTTACAACGAACCGTTAACAAACCGCAACCCGACTGTACCAAACCGTTTACTTCCCAAACCGAATTAAAACCGCTCAAGAATAAACCGAAACCGAATCGAACTGATAACTATTTAAACCGAACTGAAACCGACCCGCGATACATTTAAACCGATTTCAAACCGACCCGATTTAATGCCGAACCGATTTCAAATCGAACCGAACCTGAACTGTCAAACCGTTTTAACAGTGCTAGTTACTAGTATAAAATAAAGGGTTGGGGTTGGTGTGGTTATGGGGTAGCATGGGTTGGTAAGATGCGCCGGTATTTTGGTATTTTGTCAATATTAGATAAATACTCTTTTAGACTCAAGTGTTGTAGGAATAACACGCATTTTTTTCTTAAAATTGGACTAATTTTCATCCATACACGTTTGCTTGTGTGTCCGGTTTGATATGATATAGAGCATTTTATAATTAAGGCATTCACACCTACGATTTATAGTCATGATGTTTTTATTATTATCTTACCAACTTTTTATTAGAGACATTTTTATTTAGTGTTCAGGTTGACATTTAAAGTATTGAAAATAAAATAAAATTTATAAGAATTGAAAAGTCATTTATAAAATAATTAATCGATTAACACCTATTTCTGGAAACAGAATTCTACTCGGTGCAAGGGTATTTCGGGTATCAAGATGTTTAAGGTTTGATGTCCGACGTTTGAACGTACTTGAGCTACGACTTGCAGGGATGTCCGAGATTGAGCTATGCCTGCAAGAAAGAGATAGTAAGCTAACCCAAGGGGCTGAACCGGAAATGCCCGTCCGACTCTCAAGTCCGTGAAATGTACTTTATAGAGAGAGAATAAGAGATATTAGAAAATTTTATCTGTCATTAATCGTTGGCTGCTACTTATAGATGTACTTTTAAATGGCAAAACTTAGCAAAATTAAGAATTAATATGTACTTTTTGATGACTATTGGATGATGGACAAGATCAAATTGGGTTTCAGACATGGTCGGAGCCCAAACAACACCAAATAAATAAAATATAACAAGTAATAACATAAGGACTTTACAATTTTCAAAACACATAGTAATAAGAAACAAGGACAATTTTACAATAGCTACATAAATTTTGTAGTCATTGTAATTTTAAATCATAAACGTACATTTGTCATTATTTAATAAACATCATTCTCTCATTTGACTTGACAAATTCTTTTATTTATCATTAATTTAAAAATCAGTTACTTTATCATAGTACTCCATTTACCATGAATTTATCTTCAAAAAATCAAAGGTCATGTTCAACAGAAATCAAAACTTCATTATCCGTCTAATTTCACCATTAATCATGTCCTTTATACTTTTCATCTATATATAAATTGTAATCTAACACTACCGAGTATATATTTATTCTGTATTTGCTATTTGATTATATAATTAGAACTGTACTCCTGATGCTATTATACTATGTTACTTGATTATATAATTAGAAGTTCTGATACTATTATACTATGTGTATGGAAATTAACCAATCTCCTATTGAAAGAAAGGTCCGTTGGAAACCACGTGTGAAAATTGAAACTTATACGGAGTATTTCAAGAAGTTAATTTTAAGTACGTTAATGGAGAAGCAGTTTTTTTTTTAAAAAATAAAAAATAAATAAATGAATAAATTGGGTAATAGCAGTTTTTAATTGGTTTTTTTTTGCTTTGAATTTTTTTAAATAAAAGTCAAATAAATGAATGGGTAAGATTTTCTCCTAAAAGATAAAGGGTTTAGATTGAAAAATCATACAATGATCAGAATTTTTGGGTAGCCATTGAATAGTCAAAATTACCATACCTATTATTTCACCCCGAATTTGACCCAACCCTAACCAATCCGAATTAAAGAACAATTTTGAGCTAAACATATTTTACCTGAACAAACACTAGGAATGACAAAGGATCAGATTCGGGTCGGATGGAGCTCCACTCGCATCCACCCACTCCACCCGATCCACCCGCAAAACCCATCACCCGCATCCAATCTATCTGTCATCCGCGGGTGAAATGGGTGGATCGGATGCTTAGCGGATGATGATTATAATTTTTATTTTTATATATACATAAAAATTATTAATGGTTAACATTACATGTGTTGGGTATATTTTCAACAAATACATCAAATTATCAATTTTATCCTTTTGAAACAAATAATAAATTTAATAAGTTTTAGAAATATATTTAGGAACTACTACAATATATAAGGTAGGATGGAAGGACATTTTCAGTGTATTTGGTCTTTTATATATATATATATATATATATATATATATATATATATATATATATATATATATATATATATATATATATATATATATATATATATATATATATATATATATATATATATATATATATATATATATATATATATATATCGCCGAGGCTTTCTATTGAGGGTAGCCGTATTTTTCCCAAATACTCATATATGGTATCAAGAACTCTAGGGTTCTAAAAAGAAAAGAAATTAAAATCAGTTTCTTGGACTCTATTTTTTTTCCCCAAATCAATTTTTCACTTACAACTATACACACATTTTTATGATTCCAAAACCGATATTTCCGTGGACGACAAAAATGGAATCATGAGATCTTATTAATTTCTTTTTTTTTTTTTGACGGGGGATCTTATTAATTTCAAAGTCACAAATTAATGATTATTTGCATGTAGGACAATTTTACGATTATTAATCTTTTAGAAAATATAATCTTTTGATAAGAACCTTTTACTTTTTGGAAAATGATACTTCAACTCTAAGTAAAGTCTCAAAGCCTCTTAAGGGCTAAATTTGTTGTAAGAGAAGATGAACATATGAATGATTTTTTTTTTGTGAGTGATCTCGATTGTTAAGTCGCTATCCAAACCAATAATATTATACAAAGACACATTTTTTCTACTCCGTATTTGTTTTTGCAATCATTGATGAAAACACGAAACCATGATATATAATTATACTTATATAATAAGTGCAATAAAATAAAGATGGAGACATAAGTAAATATTAAGCTAAAGTTTTAATTCAAAATTGTCTACTAATCAAAGAAGCCATGCTCATTTAGACCAATTTAATGTTTTGACTACATTCTATTCCGTAACACAGATGACTATTGTTTTTATCCACATTGCTTTCGCATGGATTCAACCTACTTTATACACACTATCAAATTACCAAGAAAAGGTATTGGCCGCACTAAGAAAAGGTATTGGCCGCACTAAGAATTCGTGCGGCAAATATATATATATATATATATATATATATATATAATATTTGATGGAGAATGTGTATTATTTAATAGAGGATATTTATAACGCAACTTGTTAGAGGATATGTGTTATTTGATAATGAATACGTACAATTAGTTGCCAATACATAAAATATTAGGCGCGGCTTTGCACCCAATACTTTGTGAATTACCAGGACTTCCTTCATAAGCATAATACTTTAGAAATTAGCTTGAGCTTGTTGATAAGTCAAGTTTTATCAAACCTCCTTGTTTAATTTGCTTGTTGCCAATATTGACTACTTTCTCAATGAAATCATGTGAACATAAATGCAATTACGTTTGTTATAGTATGTGGCTTTGGCAATTAGCGGCAAAAGTGACCTTTGAAAAGGTGTAACGAAACATTGACTATTGACTAGAAACTGTAATTAAATTTAAGCAAATTAAAAAAAAAAAAAAAAAACATTTTGTCAAAGATAACAATATAAAGATAATTTGAACAATTTAATAATATTGCTTGCAAATGAGTTACAACTAGATCATATACAATGTCAAAGGCAATATAATACGCATTACAGCTCAAAACGGGCTAACATTTATAGAAAAGGTAATACTAACACGTAATGAGATTAAGAAACCATGTAATTAACAACATTAAAAAAATACATAATAATCCGAAAATTTAAAGTTGTGCTTGAAGCATCCCTCTCAATTCGTTAATAAAAACATCCATTTTAGGGGGAGCCAAGGAAACAGGCACCATGACCATAGTCTCTCCTTTCTTGTTCTTAAAGGAAATAAAGAAGCTAGCATCCGGTATCGACCCATTACTCGCCGGCCCTCCGAATACAGGCTTTCCCCACCCGAAATCAGCATCCGCGAACCCTAAATGCCTAAGGTCGGACACCACGTAGGTTTGATGCACGGTAAAATGTGGCCTATCTTTTGTTACCATAAGGTCCATATTAGACCTCATATATTCCTCGTTCACATCACTTTTAACGCTCCTTATTTTTTCTAAAATATATCCTACGTCACTTTTGCATATATCACCCGCCTTAGCGCAAACGGCCGGGAATGCGCAAGCATTCCCATAGTACCCCTTCTCTAAGGGCGGGTTAAACTTACCCCTTGCGTTCACAGCAAAGAGAAGACGAATTTCCTGCTCGGGGTCAAACCCGAGTGCTATGGTACGACAACGCCATAGGGAAGCGCTGAGGATGTCAAAGGTGGAGAATTGTTTGGTGTGTGAAGGGACATGGTGACGTAGGGCAGCAAGCTCGGTTGGTCCAAAGAGGAAGGATTTTTGGACTAAGTCGGCTTCACCATTCGAGTGGTGATCGACTTCTTCATGTTGGTCGTACTCGGGGTGGGGGAAGGTGACTTTTGGGGTGTCTCTAGCGAGTAAGCGTTCACGATCCCATACCGGGAGGATGGATGGGACGGCAAAGCCCCGCCCCATCTCACCTACCGCGTTCATTAGTTGCATTACGCCCGTGCCATCGCTTATGACATGGTTGCATCGAAGGGCTACTATGAATCCACCACATTTGAGACGGGTTACCTATCACATAACGAACAAATACATTATTACAATTTGTTCTTATTTGACTTATTAACACGGACCATTAACATATGAATTATGGTAAGTAGGAATATATCCAACAAACAAGTGTTGTTTTTATTACGTAAACAATTTAAATTTGTTCTCTTGAATTGTCATGATTGTCGTACTTAGTTCATAATAAATTTATGAATGTTGAATGTAACTAACAGAAATAAGAGTTGTACATAAGACCAACTTTATTATCTTATTTCGATAATATTTAAGCTATGGTGGAAGGAAAAATGTACCTACTTCAACTAATGATGAGGTCTTATTATGCACTATCTTTCACAAGATTAGATATTCCATAAATGATGAATTTTTAATTTATTTATCTAAAGTAAAAAATTTATAAGTGTAGTCGGTGTTAGATAGCAATGCAAACACATAATTGTTGTTTTAACGACTTTAAAGGATAAACGTTCAATATACTTGTGTATAACTAAGAAGTATAAGGAATTTAAGAATATTAGACAATAAAACAGTATATATGTACCTGAACTATGAGCAAGGGAGTGCCAACCATAGCATCAGTGTTGGGAATTTCATATAGCAACTCTTCCAAAGGAAATGGAGGATGAATTTCACCGAAATCCTCGAGTGTAGCATCGGCCTCAGCCTCGATGAAGGGTACACCTTCACCGGTGCAATCGACAATAAGCTTCCTCTTTGATCCTTCTACCAGTCGACCAGCATAAGGGTAGAAAAACACAAGAGCCTTAGCAAGAGCATCCTTGACCACTTTCACGGGGTCCTTACCCTGCATGGAAGGGTCAGCTCGGTAAAACATAATAGCCGGCATTTGGAACCGGAGACCCTCTTGGTCATCAATATCCGAAACCAATTTTTGTTCTCGTGGTGTATCCTTAGCCGGACACACCAGCTCAGGCTCCCCTCGTGTTACGTTCAACACTAGGGGAGTCGTTTCTTGTGTCATAAGAGACATATTGGTAAATAAATTAACCTAGAGTTTGATTATAAAAAGGTTATATATATATCTTGGTGTGTATAGTTGAACAAGGGCTATGAACTTTTTATGTTGCTTGAGAAATACTAGTGCTATGTAACGTCTATATATAATGGTATGTAAGTGGTGTGTTTAGTGAACGAGTTAGGTGGATTAAAGGTAACAATTGGGGCCACGTATTAACACTGAAAATATTTGGATAAATGAAAAAGGGGTGGATAGGATGGAGTTGGTGGGTGCATAAGTTGGTGAGTATATTTTCATATGTGAGCGTATTTTCGTCAAAGTTGGGTAGGTGCTGAGATGATGCCAAGCCTCAATAATGCAAGTTGACGGACCATGAAAACACTAACAATTTTCTTTACGTTTATTCAAAGACGTCAACTTTCTTTGACAATTAGCATCTACCCTTATTTTACATTATACTAATAGCTTACCCATTAATCCATGAGGCCAATGAGTATACACAGTAGTTGATTACTCTCTTTATTTCTAAAAGTTCGTGTAATTTTTTGTATTTGAGCGTTTAGAAAATTCGACTTAGAACCTGTTCTTTTCATCTTATTTTCAATTCAATTCAGCTCAGCTGACTCCAATCAGTTCAGCTGAGTTCACTTCACTTTCTAATTTAATTTCCTTCTCTCATAAAATATTTAGTTCAGTTCAGCTCCAATCAGTCTAGTTTAGTTCAGTTCAGTTAAGCTCATTTCAGTTAATCAGAATACACCCTTATTGTTGTATTCTAAATTGTATACATATACATGTTTCACTAATCTCTCATACTTTAATTATGTACAATTTTTCTACACTACCCATCCTTCAATCGTTTACTCTATCAATAATTTTTTCTTTCTTCTTTTACACAATTACACCAAAACATTTTCTTTTATAAAAACAATTCTAGACAGAAGTATATATAGTAAGTTGAGATGTTTTACCTGAAATCCATTTTATGATATGCATTCATTATACTACCTCTGGTCCAAATTACTCGCAACTTTGGAATATTTTATATCTCACAAATAATACCCCAAAGTTGCGAGTAATTTGGACCAGAGGTAGTAGTTCTTATTGGAAAATATTCAATGAGCAATCAAGCAAAAATTGTCTGATATTATTAGAAATAATTAGATTAAACTCGAACGACTTGAATAACTTTATTATTATGCAACTGCATGATTTGAATAATTTTATTGTTATGCATAAAAAAATTTCATTTGTGTAAAAATAGAGTGACAATTATTTTTTGTTTGAAAAACATAGTGTAGATAGATTAAAAAAAATTAATAATTGAAGATATCACACGTAGAAATGGAGAGAAAAATTTTGACGTGAGAATGACACGTAGAATAGTTTAAGGATTGATGATGTCAACCATGTTTTGTTTTAGTAATAGTTAATAAATTGTACTCTCTCTGTTTCAAAAAACTTAATACACATATCAATGCAATACTTTGACATTAGATATATGTGATTAAATATTAGTAAAAATATAGGAATAATTGACTTAAATAATCCTAATTATGCTCGATTCACAAAAATAATCCCAACTTTCAATTAATTTTTAGAACTTTTTGTGATAAAATAACTAATAAAACCAAAATTTTGTGAGAAACTACCTAATAGAAAAAATTATAAGAAACTAACTAATAAAAGGTAAAATGTTGTAAGATACTACCTTTGATCGATTTTTCGCCGTTGACTTAATTTTACGACATTGATCTGCCTTCAAACATCCCCGAAACCACCATGAGGGTTGATATTCAAGGTGATAAGGCTTATTTCCGGGTGGTTGAAGGATATTTCGAGTTGGTGAGGGTAGATTAGTGCTCAGGGATGGTGGTTTTTGGGATTAGAGGTGGTGTTTTTGGGGTTGAAAGGTGGTTTAGGTATGGTGGGGGCGATTTTAAGCAAGTTGTGTTAGTTTTAGGAATGATTACGGTGGTTTTGAGAGTATTTTGAGGTCCCTTAAGGTAGTTCATTACAACATTTTTTTAGGAAAAATACACTTTATTAATACCAACGTTGGCCAATTTACTTTCAATAATCCCAATTATTGATTATTCTGCAATAATCCCAACTTTCACCTCAGTTTTCTTCTATTTATACCAAACCGGCCAACGACAGTCAACAACCTTTTTAACAGGTAACCAGTTTTTGGGATTGATAGAAGATAACGGAGGTGAAAGTTGGGATTATTGTAGAATAATCAATAGTTGGGATTATTCAAAGTAAATTGGCCAAAGTTGAGATTAATAGAATGTATTTTTCCTTTTTTATCAGATAGTGTTTTTTTTCACAAAGTCTTGGTTTTTGGTTTTATTATGTAGATTTTGACAAAAAGTCCTATTTTTTAATAATCTGAACATTAATATGAATTTGTTTATAATGTTCTCAATCGGTTATCAAACTTGTTATAACAAGTCACCTGACACGTGTTAGGACGTGATTAGTAGAAAAATAAATAAATAAATAAATAATATAAAAAATTAATTAACTAAAAAGTAAAAACCCATCACCCTCCGATCCTCGGCAGCCCCAGCCACCTTTCCAGCACCATACCCCCGCATAGCCCAGTGACTTCCTGCCCCATCTCCGATCGCATCCTAACTCACCTCCGATCCCATGCGTTAGAAACGACACCACCATTCCCTCTAGCGTCCCCCCCACCCCAAAACCGCCATGCCCACCCCCGAAATCCCTACAAAAAACCTCCCCCAGCCACCGCAGACCTCCACCTCCCCCAACCTCGGAACCTTAGCGAATAGGGGTATCAAGGTTTGGGGGAGGGGCAATTAGAGATTTTAGAGGTGGTAGGAGGATTTTTTTAAAGTTTTTTTTTGGGGGGGGGGGTGGGTTTTGGGGTGGGAGTATGGAGGTTAAGGGGGAAGCTAAAGGTGGGGTAGAAAAGGGAAGAGGTCTTGGGAGCGGTGGGACCCAGTGGCCTGGGGAAGGGGTCGGAGAAGTGGCTAGGGCATGTGGGGGAAGGGGAAGAGTGGTTTTTTTTAAAAAAAAATTATTTTTAGAATATTTAGTTCATTGTTGAGTTTTAGTTAAGTGTTAATTTCCTTACAAAAATAATAATGTGTTGATTAGTAATTAATACTCTTTTCTATAAAAAAAATAAAAATTAAACTTATTTCTAACCAGTCACGTGATGACACATGTACATTAAGCTTTAAATAAAAATAATTTTACCTATTCAACAGGTTACTTGTCACCTTGGCCATTTGAAGTAAATTCATGTTAAATTTCGAATTATTAAAAAAATAATCAGAAATTCAGATTATTTTTGACGAATTTAGCAAAGCTGGGATTATTCCAGTCAATTTTTCCTAAAAATTATTCAACAGTTGATACTGTGAAACTTTATTTTAATATCTATTTAACGATATTTTTATGATAAAATTTGGTCTTTATATTTTACCAAAAATGTTAGTCAAAGTTGGTATGAAGTTATGAACAGTGAAAAAAGTTAAACATGTAAATTATTTAGTAGCAAAGGAGTAATTTAACTTTGATGGGTATTTTGGTGAAATATTTATGCATGTTCTAGAGTGAAGTTTTCGGATTATGTAGTATTGTAGGCGTCGCTTGAAATGCGCCTACGTTAAATCATGTTGTTAATATGCTTGGCACTCATAGGAAGTGGGAATTGACATAATAAGATTAGGGACAAGGAAAGTAGGGAGCCGCCAACAAGTTTTTAAGGAACTTGTAAATCGTTCACGGATCATAAAAGGCAACCACGATAAAGGGACAATGATAGGCAACAACGATTGACCCGTGAAGGTTACACCCCATTCATAATCCATGATATTACTAACTCCATATGGTTCGGAACAACGAAAGGAGGACCGGGGATGATGGTACGAAGTGATTCATGGAGTCACATTCGCCCGTATTGGCCTCTACTCGATTCTTATAGTGAAAAGTGATTCCTGCGATCTCAAAGGCATACAAACAATGATTCAATTTTCTCCAAATTATTATTAAGCTAAATTGGTTGAATATTAATGCAACATATAATTCTAAAATATCGTGATCACTTGATTAAACAACAAGATTAAAAAGGAACCTAAACCGGTTGTCCAAATTATCTTATTAGGCGTGATATTCAATTACATATTCCCTTTAAACATGCAATATGGTGATCATAATAAAAATAATAGAATTAATATTAATATTGGAAGCAATTCAACAATAATATTGTTATTCAAATCAAATCATAACCCTAATCAAGATAATAGCAATATTAAAATAAGAGTAATTAAGTGAATCAATTACTCACTTTTCCGCATTTCCTTGAATTGCTACATCATGAATAAACTGTTAGTAACTTCAATTAAAATATAAATCGAATTGAAATAATTAAATAAAAAGTAGAGTGGATTTGGTCCAAACCATCAGTCAATTATACCTTTCACGCCTTGGTTTAAGTATAGAACTTTGGGTATTATATGGACTCCTTGGAGTGCTTAATTAAAGGAAGGAATAATGAAAGAATGGAGAGGCTAGTGTTTAGGCTAAAGAGGGAGAAGATACTTATTTTTTTTATCAAGCTTGTTGATGATTGGAAAAGGGGTGATATGACCTCTATTTAAAGAGAAAAAAAAGAAGGGTCGAAGAATTAAGATAAGATCCGAATTAAATCGGAATAAAACTCGATAGACTGCAGTTTTTGCGGTTTTTTGTTTTTATCATATCTTTTGATCCATAAATCGGAATAATATGAATAAGATATCGTTGGAAAGCTCTTGAAGTCTAATTTATAACCCAGTTATAATCAGATTAAAATATTTTATAGAATAAAATATATGTCCGAAATAGTGAGACGGTGTCAGTTTTGGATAGAGTTTGATATTTATTCATATCTTTTCCGTTATAGCTCGGAATTGATATTATAATATATAATTGGAAAGATAATTTCAAGCGATATCCAACCATATAAAATTTGGATGAAAACTATGAGGAACGAAAATAATATCTATCTATCTTTGAATGTCTTTCAATTCGAATAAAATTAGGACTTTAAAAAAAAGGAGTTTTATTCACTTTCAAACTTTTTAATCTTATCTTTTCAAAAAGGATAATTGGGATCTTTTAGAAACTTATAGAAGTTTCTAATTAATCCTAAATGTTTTAGGAATGGGATTAAATAATTTGGACCCTCCACATGATCATTGGGTCGTAGGTAAGGTGAGCTTAGGTTCGGCTTGGGCTCAATTTAAAATTTTGGTCATAACTTATTCGTATAACTCGGATTTGGGCTTATAATATATCGCTAGAAAGCTCTTTTAAAGCCCCATCCAAATTTTTAATCATTGGACCCATATTATGGACCAAAATAAACTGGATTAAACGATTTTATAAAAAGAACACGAAATGAATGATTTTAAAGGACACGAAATGAATTATTTTGGGTTTAAAGGCACGAAAAGAGGAAAATAAGTTATGGTTTAGGGAAATGGGATAGGAGTTGGGTTGGTTTTATGAAATGGAAATATAGATTTAAGCACTCCAAGATTAAATACTCAACCCGACCAATAATGGCGGTAAAAGGTTGTTCATCATCAGGTTTGGTTTTGGGGAGACATTTTTAGGTGTGTACAAAAGCCCCCACTTTGAATAAGTTTGTAGAAACGTCAGTTTTGAAAACGATAGTCAAAGTAGTCGATATGGACGGAGAATGATTTAAGACGTTCTGCGATCCTAAATCACACTGTATACGTCGATACCTGCAAAAAATGTTAATTCCACAGATAAAAGAGTAAAGGTATAGAACGCTTATCTGACACCAGTGTATCGGATGACGTTTGTTGAAATGGTATTTTCCTATGCTTGAAGGAATCCACCGGATGACGTTTGTTGAAATGCTTTCCATGCTTGAAGAAAGCTGACAGATGAGTTTGGTAGCTTTTTAAGCCTGAAGAAACCTACCGGATGACACTTTCCATGCTTGAGGAAAGTTGACATATGATTTTGGCGTTTTTCTATGCTTGAAGAAATCCACCGATAATGCTTTCCATGCTTGAGGAAAGCCGACAAAGGAATTTGGCAGTTTTCTATGCTTGAAGAAATCCACCGGATAATACTTTCCATGCTTGAGGAAAGTCGACAGATGCTGAGATTGCAAGTCTCTGTGTATCGAGAACCTTGCGTCATGAAATGATGGTGGTTCAATTGTCCCCGAACGTGGGCTGTAGATGGTCCGCTTGTCCCCGGACATGGGCTGTAGTTGGTTCGCTTGTCCCCGAACGTGGGCTGTAAATCGTTTGCTTGTCCCCGAACGTGGGTTGTAGTTGGTCCGCTTGTCCCCGGACGTGGGCTACTACTACAAAAAAGGCCTTAGAGAACTGTTATAATAGGCTTTATAGATCTCCTTAGGGGCGTTCTTCTGCTAAGCGATGTATAAAGTATAGAGAACGGGTCGTGTAGGCGTTTTATATATTAACAAATAGAGAACGCTTGTTAGTCACAACCGTTCTCTTTTCCCTTCTTAAATTTGTACACCAAGGAAGAAATACAGAACGGTTTAGGCCACTTAACCGTTCTATATTGCATTACAATAGAGAACGGTTAAGTTAGATAACAGTTCTCTAATGTTTTTTTTTAAAAAAAAAAAAATCCGGCCATATGTATTTAATTATTCGAATTACCCCTCTACGTATGTTATACCGTATTATTCCTGTATTTTAATAATCTGAATTATTTTTGTATTTCATTTTAGACCTGTATTCCTGTTTTATATCTTGTAAATTTATATATCCTGTAAGAAAATCTTCACATTTCACATGTAAAATAAATCCAAGATCCTGTACGTGCAATATAATTTTCTGTATAATAAAATTAACAAAAATATTTCCAGATACGACGAAAGCCATCAAAATATACTTCATATATATAATTAAAAACATCCAACCACAATTAAATTGAATCATTCATACAAAATTTGTTCTATACAAGAAAATTCGTGAGTTAAATATCAAAAACCTTTCTAGTTAATGTTGATTAAAATAAAAAATTATGCTTAGATATACCAATACCATATTGATCTACAATTCACATAAATCATCGTTGTTGTCATTTGGTTGATGGTATCCAGTAACATATGAAATCCATCTTTCCCTAAGCTCGTCGATCATTTGTTGAGAATATGTTGGAGGAACTTGCTTAAAATACTACAAAACAATGTAAAATACATAAATATTAGTTAATTATATAAAATAAGTTCATCGAATTAAATATAAATATGTATATCTTTTTTCTTTTTTGACAAAACGCAGCAAGCAGAGTAGCACATATTAGTACACAGTTCCAGCCAAATGGCCCAAACACCATATCAGCCTATTACCACCTCAGCAAGCACCTGCTGCTCCACGTCCCAGCCAAGAGACCCAAGCACCATCTCAGCCACCTACACAGCGGCCCCCTTTCCATCCAGCAGGAGTGGCGCCAGCACAGCCCAAACCATCTCCATCTCCTTCACTACCACAGTCACTATCTCTATCACGAAGAAGTGACAAGCCAATTTAGACAAAAGCCACAACAGGGTCACCTCCAACATCTTCTGCAAAGCACTCATCCCCCACAAAGAAACCTCAAGCAGTTGCAACTGACATTACTCAAAATCCAAAAGACCTAAGAAAGCAAGAAACTTCACCTAAAGAACCTAGAAACCAACCAGCTAATAAAAAGTCTACAGTAGAAGTTTATGTAAGTTTAAGTTCATAAGAACAACAGGTACCAAAAAGGCTGCTCATAATACACATAACAGCCATGTGCATAATAGTTTCTGCCAGTGCCTCATAAGCATGAAAATGCAGAAGGATCAGCCTACTTTTCAAAAAGAGATAGAGGAGAACTTGCCAAAGCTAGTGCACAAATAAAGTAGTGAGCAAGAAAATCAAATTCCATTAAGCATTATCACTGTAGCAGGGGAAAACATTGGAACAAACTACACCCACTATGGAGTGTAGTGTGTGTGCTGTGGTAGCTGTTCTGTTTTGGCAGAAGTACAAGACAAATTCAATTAAGTATGATAGTCCTTGTATGAGGGAGGCTGAGTATATATAGAATAGAATGAATTAGAATGGCATGTGATTAGGGTCCAGTTTGCTAGTGAGTCCATTCAAGAAGCAGGGAGCATTAGGGAGAAATTAAAGCTAAGAGTGCAATCCGAATTTAATTCCTAAAGCTTATTTGCACTACAATGTTTTAATCTAAATTACATGAATTTGACACAAAAAACAAGCAAATATGAAATCTTCAACCCATGACTCACATCCACAATCACACCTAATTTCCTATCAAAACTAACCCCATTTTGACTACAAACAAACTGAGGTACATTCACAAATTTCCCATCAAAACCCAACAAATAAAATCTCAAAACAACCCTAGACCCACCATTGTAGGGCCCAACAGTAATTTTAGAGAGCATAATTGTGCAAAAACTACAAATTTTAGAGAGTATAGTCAGATGTGTGCATCAGCTACTCAAAATACATTTAAACTAAATGTCGTACCTTGTCGGGGATGATCATTTGCCTAGATTCAATTGTCTCAATCATGTAGCGACAAACGTAATATCCACTACCACTAGAGCCATTAGCTTGACGAGGAAACTAATACAAACCAAAAAAAAGGGGAGGGTTAAATCAAACACCTAGTTATATATAATGTATCAACATATATTATGTACTAAGCATTGCAAAATTATATTAAAGATACAAATACCTCTATGCTTATCCATTTAATGTAAGGTTTCTTCTTCATTTTTGTGATATCCTTTCGATGTTCCGCGCTAAAATTGATCATTGCCCTAAGTAATTATCAAAATATTAGAGTAATAGTATTGAAATACTTTCATAAAAAGAAGTTAACATGTAACAAAATAATTAATCTAGCACATACTTGTTGATTATTGTTTGAGCAAATTTGGGAGGTTCATCTTTTACTCCCGCGGGATCTAGCCAATGCACCAAACCAACCCATGGACAAATAGCAGCCAACATCCAATGTCCACTATATTGATTAAAACAATAAATTCAAATACAATAATGAATGTTTAAAAGGAATTAGAAATAAAACTAATAAAAAAAAAAAAAAATATGTGATAGACTCATATTCACTTACTCCTCATAATACGGGGCAAAGAAGAGCTGATTTTTGTTTTTGGCATCATTACATGAAAATAGCCTAGCTAGATAGTCACATCGATCATCGTCTTTTTCCACTGTTGGAGCATACGAGGATAGATAGTTGCAATCACAAAATCCATACAACCCTGAGATACCTTATGTATGAACAATCTCACTCATATACCTTGCATAGAAAATATTCATTTAAATTTATTAGCTCATTAATCAAAAAGCGTTATAAATTTAACCTAGAAATGGCAAAGGATACAACACTTACATCATTAAAATTGACATGTGTGACGATTTTATCTCTCTTTGGAAGCACCAGTCAAGCATGTCTTCATAATCAAGGGTAACACATTTCTCATTTTGAAACACTTTAGCCAAAACTGTAAAAGATTTGGTTTTACCGCTAGTTTTCATTGCAATAGCCACATCCTTAAATACTCTAACCAAATTAGAAGTCAACTTCAACTTATCAGCATGAGTTATTATGTACTTTCTAGTGCATGATGATTGTGATGATGGCGAGTGTGGAGATGGTGCAGCGATTTCTTTAGGGACTTGCTTATCAGCCTTGTCATATAATCACAGGAAAAAAATCAGCCAAAAAAAAAAAACAAGATGATCGTATTTATATAATGTGACAGATAATTATAATTTAAAACTGAATTTAACCTTCTTTATAGGAAAAACCAAGTGAGAAGGCCATATTAAATAATAATTTAAAGTTTGACAAATGAATCTTATCTCCCCTTCAGGACATGGCAGAGGTGCATTTGGGTTGATTTCTTCTTTAACACAAAAACTCGATAATGACCACTTGGGGCGGGCTTGAAATGATGCTTGACAACTTCTCCTTCCATCCCAACATACACTTCTCCAATAGCAACTATATCGACCCCTTTGTCACTCTTAATTGCCAAGGAACAAAGACTATCAACTCCCTAAATATGGATTATGGTATTAATAAACCTTTTGTGGATTGATAAGATGTAGTAGTCTATAATTTAACACCATCAGAAGAATCTAGGATATATGTACTTACATCAAACATAAGTATTATGAAATAATGTTACCTTTGGAAATGGTTGGCCAGTAATGTCTTGTTCATTATTGAGTACATGCGTTTCCAAATTCTCATTTTCTAGCACATATTCCTCCTCGGGCCATGCAAGATGGTATGGCTCGGGTTGAACCTCAAACGCTTGAACATTCTTCTCTTGGAAGTTGAAACCTCGAACCCCTTGGTCACCTTGGGAGCCAAACACATCTAAATGATCATCTAACTCTTCACCACCAGAACCACCCTTTTGGACACTTGCTAACTAATGGATAACTTTGTTTTGCTCTAAGGCAAGTTGGAAGCTAAGACCTTAAAGCCAACTGTCACGACCCAAGACAAGGCCATCTAAACCTTGGCCACCAGATCCACCAGCTTGGATACCCACTAACTGGTGGGCAACTTGGTTTCCATTTGAATCACCAAGTTCTTTCAATTGCTCCGCGTTAACCTGACCACTTGACAATAAGTAAGACAATAACAAATTTTGTGTATTAACCACATTTTCTAATTTTGATTTGAGACACTTAAGATCTGATTGCAATTGACTTTGTGGTAATGGTTTGTTGTAGCCAAAGTACATCTTATTTGTAACACCGGACCCAACGCCCCTAACACAACCACCATGTTCAGGATTCTTTAATACTAACGCTAGGATATCATTCCGGTCAGTGCCCTCAATTTCTCCTTGGATTTGTTGAGCCTCCAATGCTTTCTGACATCAATAATAAAAAACCTAATTAAGGTAGTGTAATCTATTATAGCCAAATAATTTATTTGATTCAAAAGTAGAAACAAACTCACAATTGTTTGAGCTATTTCAAAATCAGCAGGATTGTCAAAGGTCATTTCACTAGTAGAAAAAGGCTTATTTGCGTCGCTCATTTATAGAGTATTTGCGTCGCTTCTATGAGCGACGCAAATGACTTTTAAGTCATTTGCGTCGCTCCTAGGCGCGACGCAAATAAGAGTCATTTGCGTCGCTCCTTTATAAAGGAGCGACGCAAATGACTTTTTTGATAAACTTATTTTTTGTCATTTGCGTCGCTCCTTTATAAATAAGCGACGCAAATGACTCTTCTGACAAACTTATTATTTGTTATTTGCGTCACTCTTTTATAAAGGAGCGACGCAAATAACTCTTCAGATAAACTTATTTTTTGTTATTTGCGTCACTCCTTTATAAAAGAGCGACGCAAATGACTCTTCTGACAAACTTATTTTTTGTTATTTGCTTCACTCTTTTATAAAAAAGTGACGCAAATAACTCTTCAGATAAACTTATTTTTTGTTATTTGCGTCACTTCTTTATAAAAGAGCGACGCAAATGACTTTTCTAATAAACTTATTTTTAGTCATTTGCGTCACCCCTTTATAAACAAGCGACGCAAATGACTCTTCAGATAAACTTTTTTTGTTATTTGCGTCGCTCCTTTATAAAAAAGCGACGCAAATGACTCTTCCAATAAACTTATTTTTTGTTATTTGCGTCACTTGTTTATATAGGAGTGACGCAAATGACTGAGTAGACAATACAAAACTGCTGTATTTGCGTCACTTGTTTGTTTAATGAGTGACGCAAATGAGGTGAATTTTTTTTTTTTAATTATAATATAATAATTGCCTTGTATATGTTTGTAGTACCTGTTTTCCTAGGTATAAAGTAATATGCTAACGCTAATATAATTGAAATTAAAATGCAATATTATTGAATAATGCAAATGTAAATTTCGGCAGAGTCTCCTTTGTAATTTGGCCTACCCATAAAATTGGGAATGACGACATTATATTAACAACCTGTCCAATAATTTACATCTCAATATCATAGACATTATACTCATCATCCCAACACCAATGAACCAAATTACTTCATTTCAAGCCTATAATCCAAAACAAGAGTCAAACATGCGCTAAGTGGTAAATCTAAAGTTCAACATTACATATAAAATACTCTGCCCAAATATCTCGGATCTCATTTATCTCCTCCTCGGTGTACGGTGTGGTTCTTGAAAAATCCTATCAACACAACAAATATACAAGAGGAAAGTTTTAATTCAAGATTGTAGCTAACATCAAATTGTATTTATCAAACAAAAATGAAATATTTGACAACTCATACCTGAATAAGATCTTCACTGCTATGGTGATGTTCAAGTATTTCGTACATATAACGCATGACGTAGTAGCCACACTCACGTCCACCCAATTGTTGAGGACACTACATGTAATATATTTGTAAGTTGAATTAAATTGCTATACTTCAATTATTAAGAAACTAAAAGTTAGGGTAAGAAATTAAGGTAACCTGTCCCAAATGCCATGTCAATTTACTTCCCCTAGATTGTCCACTTAATGCCTTAAAACTTCGAAAAGCACTACACATTTGAAACAAATAACATATATATTACCCTTACACACATAAAATCATGACATTAATAACAAACTAGACTTACTTTGTCATTGCAAACTTAACTGCTAAATTTCGCTTCTGCCTCAAAGAATCAAAGATGATGACTTCACGCTTAGCCATGCATAAGACCAAAAGAACCCAATGATTCCTACATAATAAATTAGACACACATTTGTAAAAGAGTAAAATAATATCAACAATTTGCAATGTTCAAATAAATACAAGTTCAAAGTTTATACTTTTCATGGTATGGGCATAAGATGAACTGCTTAGATTTTTGTTTTTCCATCACATGTGTCATGTATAGTAGGATACGATCAACATCACTATGCAAATAGGTTTCTGAAATCATTTCCGGACACATGAATCCAATGGAAGTCACTTCCTCCGTATCGAGTAAGTCACTCAAGGCCCTACATATATATCATGTAATAACATTATAAATGGTAATAAATAAGTATATGGGAAGAGTGAAATTTGAATATCTTACATCATAAAAACTTGCAAAACTGAAATATTCAGCCAAGCTCCTATGAGAAGTTGATTGACATCTTCACGTTTGATAATGATGTCCTTACTGTCTTCATAACTAAAGGTCCAAGCATCAGCCTTAACCTTAATAGTTTTACCTTCGGGTAATGAAGATAACAAACTATTTAAAGACCCACACTTCCGAGACAAGTTTTCCAAAGCATAATCCATAAGAAAATCTTTTTTTGGATTGGTGTTGGACTCTTTTGTTTCGCGACCACTTTCAACTACTTTCATTTTGTCTTGCATGTTTTCTTTGGCCGCTTTGTTGTTACCATTGTTCTTATTTGATATGAATTCCTAATCAATAGTAAAGCACATCTATTCAACAATTTGCTATATTTTGTATGGCAAACTATATGTAAATTGTTACAAAAATAATTTACCTTGTCATGCATGAGTGAAACCAAGTCTTTTGGCCATTGGGTAAATGTACCATGAGCATGCTTAAGTTTCTTGATGACTGAAGAAGGAACTGGAACCGAGAATTCTTTGAACTAGTCAAAAAAATCATCAACACTCACCCTCACGTGATCCGGAAGGAGGTTACTATGATAATCAAGGATTAACTCCGGATGATATGTACCTTCAGCTACAATGACTTTCTCAGAGTCATTTTTCAACAATGATAGCCGACAAGGAACCGGTTCCTTATAAAGATAGAAAAAAATCATAATTAAAAAATATAGAAAACTGAGTTACAAAGTTAAAAGTATGTCGCATTCATAAATCATTAAAAAAAAGATAAAAAATATAAAATAACAAAGTTTTGGATACCTGTATGTTTGCAATTGGATCATCACCCACTGATTGGCAACTACTAGGATTTTGTTGAGTCGTCCGGCCTATGTTATTCATTTCTATCATTTCAGTTGGAATTTGAATACCAATCTGTTTAGCAAATAACATAAACTTCTCTTGAACCATGGAATCCATTTTAGAATCCATCTCCTGCATAGTCTCCTCTCGTACCCTCCGGGCTACTCTTGCCTCTAATTCTTCCAGCTCATCATCTCCGAATTCCCTACCCCGTCGGCCACTACGCCTCTCTCCGGATCCCCATACAGCTTTAATGCCAATTCCACTGCCAAATGCTATTGCCCGACCATTACGATCTTTTTTCCCAAGGGCACGACATAAGATATCATCATGCCTATTAGGAACAAAGTTTCCTTCAGCTTGTTGCTTTCTCCAATTATCCTACACAATGACTTCAAGTTAGAAAACTTTGGTTGCAATACATAAACTTAACAAAATATATTCAAAATTGAAATAAAGACTTATTACATATACTTATTATATACTTACAATGGATTATTTCACCTCTCTTGTTTTCTCATCCGGCAAATAAGGATTTCCCTTATCATCTTCTACTGATCTTGCTAGAAGCTAAGCATATGTCCTATCCGGCAAACTAGACACAACCGAAGAACAAGATGAAGTACTGGATGCTGAAGATGCCATGGGAATATACCCTTTTCTACACCATACAATATTCATTTCACCATATGATTTGGCTCCTTAATGGTGAGGGTATTCGTTGAAAGACTGGCTTTGTCTTGGCTTCTCACTGATTTCCTATTTTCACGAGCATAAATGAAGATTAGTACATAAGAATCCGTTAACAAAGTATTAATAACCCGCATGATCATTGATATTAATACACACAAACCTTAAAATCATCTGTAGTATGCTCCTCCACAAATGTTTTCCACATATCCTCAGATATGAAATCATAGAGTACATACGACATTATTTTCTCCTTCGGCATATTCCTGGTACATGTGATCCAACCACTGACCAATTTTGTTTTGAAATCTCTCCAAGCTTTATCACAAGTGCGTAGGAACTTTTTTTTCTTGTCTTCATCTTCTTCGATTTGAAACTCTCTCTACGCAAAAAATTAAAAAAATAAAAAAAGTTAGTAAATAATTTCATCATATTCAAATAAATTGTTTTCATCATATTCAAATAATGTCAAAATGATCATATAATAGGATAACATTTAACATATAATAGTGAATATTACCTTAACATCTTCCCACAAAGTATCTTTTATTCCTTGTGGAACTTGATTCCAATCTTTATACAATATAGACACATTTGCACGACTTATTTCACCAACATGAATTTTGTATGCTTTTGCCCACTTTCCAATGGGTCGACACAATTCATCCCATTCAAGCACTCTAGGAAGCCCAGGCATGGATTTTAGGCCCTTTGAAGGACCTCTTGGCTTCTTTTTCTTCTTCTGAGAGTCGGTTGTTTGTTGCTCTGATTGTGACTGATTGTGTGGCTCATCTTCCTCACTTTGCAAAGGCATGGAACGATTATGCAAATCCTCATCCTCCATTATTACTTACCTAAAAAAAAGACATAAATAAATTAAGACATCAATTTATATCATTTTTAAATTATAAACTTGAACACATAACAATAATAAGCAATTTATGCAATTACTAACACATATTGGAAAAAAAATATCATAGAATTCATACCTACTTCATTCTTCTCTTTTGCGACATAAAATCCTTCATTATGATCTTTTCGTTTCAACGTTGTGTCAAAATCATCGACTATTGGAGGGAAGCTCCAAACGGAAGGTGGGGACTCATTAAATTGCTCATCATAATCTTCCTCGTCCACCACATCTTCAATGCCAAGTATCCTTCTTTTACCTTCTAAAACAACTGACCACTTACAATCAGCTGGGTCAGCCATGTAAAAAACTTGTTTTGCTTGTGAAGCTAATATAAATGGATCAGCTAGATGCCCTCGTCGACCAAGATTTACAAGGGTCAAGTTCCCTTGTTCATCTTTTTTTACACCACGGCTACTATCAGCCCACTTACATCGAAATAGAGGAATCTTGAAATCAACATAATCCAGCTCTATTATTTCTTCAATGATTCCATAATAAAATTTCTTCTTATCCACAAGTGTTTTATCATGTGCACTAACATACTCAGATGACAAACCTACTACTTTAACACCACTGTTTTGCATTGTTGACTTGTCATCTTGTCGGCTAGTGTAAAAAGAATACCCATTGATGTCGTATCCCTCATATGACATGACTTGACATTTAGCACCATATGCCAACCATCTCAATGTGTCAGATATATCGTTAGGTGTTGTGGATAGTTGGGACATCACTCGTTCCTTGAACCATGTAACGAATGAACAATTATGCTCCTTTATCAGCTGAAGATCACTTTTGGAAGGATATTTATTTTTAAGAAAAAGCATGTGCTCATCCAAGTAAGGATGAACCTCACTAAGATTTTGCAACACAAAAAGCTCGGCCTTATTTTTCATTTCAAAGCCCATGGATATCCTTTTCTTGCCAATAGTACCTTGACCTCCAAGCCTCCCATCGTGTCAAGACTTTGGCAACCCAATTTTCTGTGAACGTGCAAGATATTGAGCAACCCATGCTGCCACTTCCTCAGCAACTGTTCGTTGTACAATACTAGCTTCAGGTTTGGCCGGATTCATGACTTTTCCCTTTAAGTCACCCATTTCTCGTTCAAAAGGATACATGTATCTCTTACACACTGGTCCACAAAGTTTAATTTCACGTACAAGATGAATAACCAAATGAGGCATCACGTCAAATAAAGATGGGGGAAAATACATTTCAAATCGACACATTGTCTCAAGTATATCTGCTTGCAAGTCATCTAAAATACTTGGATTTATGACCTTGCTATAGATATTGTTAAAAAAGACACATAATCTTGTAATTGTATACCTCACTTGAGGTGGAAAAATTCCTCGGATGGCAACTGGTAATAATTGTTGCATCAAGACATGACAATCATGAGATTTCATGCCACCCAATTTCAAGTCAGACATTGACACAAGTCTACGAAAATTAGAAGAACATCCAGCCGGGACCTTTAAACCATGCAATGACTCACAAAAGCTAGTTTTTTATTTTTTAGACAAGGTAAAGCAAGCTGGGGGAAGATACCAGCGTTTTCCTCGAGATTCGGGTGCCAACTCTGAACGACCCATAGCAGCCATGTCTTTTCTTACTTTAACTCCATCCTTTGTCTTTCCTGGCATGTTTAATAAAGTTCCCACAATGGCATCACATATATTTTTCTCAATATGCATTACATCTAGACAATGTCTAACTTCCAAATGTCTCAAATATGGAAGAGACCATAGATCAGACTTCTTCTTGTAACCCCTAGTTTATTTGCTTTTGTAAGGCTTACCAAACTCATTCTCAATGTCTTTGACCCGCTGATAAACCTCACTTGCACGTAAAGGGCCACGAGCTTCTCTCAACTCCACTTTTCCATTAAAAGCATCCTTATTGAATCAAAAAGGGTGGTCTTCTGGAAGATGTCTTTGATTATCCATGTATACATGCTTGCCACAATTGTCTAGGCGCAATCCTCCAAATCATCTTCAAAAATGGGGCAAGGAGTTCTTCCCTTCACAGTGTACCCCGACAAATTCCCATAAGCTGGGAAGTCATTTATCGTACAAAAAATCATGGCACGTAAAGTGAAATTGGTTTTACTATATGCATCAAACATTTGGACACCTTCATTCCACAACAATTTCAAATCTTCAATGAGAGGCGCTAGATACACATCAATGTCATTTCCAGGTTGTTTAGGCCCATATATTAGAAGGGACAACATAATGTATTTAGACTTCATGCATAACCAAGGAGGCAAATTGTAGATAGTTAGAAGAACCGGCCAGGTGCTATATTGGGTACTTAGTGTCCGAAATGGGTTCATTCCATTTGTACTAAGACCAAGCCTAAGATTTCGATCTTCTTCACCAAAGTCCTTGAACTTTCGATCAATGTTCCTCCATTGCGGGGAATCAGCAGGATGCCTCATTAACCCATCTTTCTTCCTCCCATCAGCATGCCACCTCAATAATTTTGCAGTTTTTTCATCCGAGAAGAGTCTCCTAAATCTCGGTATAATTGGAAGATACCATAATACTTTAGCAGGAGACCCTTTCTTACACATCTCACCAGTATCATTCATCTTGTAACGAGAAACTCCACACCTTGGACACTCATGCAAATCAGCATACTCATTTCGATACAACACACAGTCATTGGGACAAGCATGTATATTCTCATACTCCATACCCAAGGGGCACATAAGTTTCTTGGCCTCATAGGTGGAGTTTGGAAGTTCATTCCCGTCGGGAAACATTTCTACTAAGGCTTCTAACAACTGCGTAAAACCCTTGTTAGTCCAACAATTGCTCGCCTTTAAGTTGAATAACTTCATAATAGCACCAAGTTTAGTGAACTTTGTACAACTAGGATATAACGGGGTTTCAGCAGCTCTCAAAATACTATCATATGTCTGGGGACACTCTGTGAAATGGTCTTCAACATCTTGCATCATTTCATCTATCCTGTCCTTCTCCACTTCACTCTCACTTTCAACACCAATATCATCAGCTGTATCGATATCCTCACCTTGGGGGTCATTATCGTCATCACAATGATTCTCATCTTCCCTTGGACAATAACTAGAACTTGCCTCAATATATATGCTCTCACCATGCCATGTCCACCTCGTGTAGTTTTCTTTAAACCCACGACGAATTAGATGATCTTTAATATCAACTATATCACGATATCCCCTCGAATTATTACAGTCACAACAAGGACAAAGAATATTCTTTGATTTATTCTCTATTTGGTGTTTTAAGGCAACAATGCTAAACTCTTCAATTCCTCGTAAAAAACTTGTACAATTTCGTTTACCATACATCCAACTTCGATCCATTTTCAACCACTGAATAACAAAATTAATTTTAAGATAATGTGTATATTTTGTAACATATATAGCTCCTTAACCATAAACAAGAATATAAGGCATCAAACATTTTCATTCAAAGTTTATATCATGTAAATGCAACTCCGGATGATCCAATAAGGTCCTTATCACTCCAACCTAACCCATTCTTGAATGTCCTATCTCACTAATAACTACTTGTAAAGTTTGGTTCTAAAGAAAATCCGGCAGCATTTCCCTATAGTTCTCCAAGCACACAATGTAGATAATCGGCTATCAACATATGTACCCAGAGAACAATCGGGAAATAGTGAGCCATGATCTTCTTAGATCCAAAACAATTCAAGTAGTTATCACCTAAATGAGATAGAACATTCAAGAACAGTCCCAAACCGGGGACTATTCAAGACTTACTCCTAATGAGTAAGCCCTGAACGGGTATCTAAGTCAATGATGCAAGTATTATTGCAATTCCAATCAATTATATCACAATTAAAAATCTCATACAATTCACAATCATTATACCAACCAGAACAAATAAGTACAATGGTTCAGATATATATACCACAAGTGAAGACAATCTCGTATGCGTACTACTGCCTTAATCGTTTGTCCACAACCAGAACCTCGAGCAACTTGTGGAATTCACTTCCGCATAATTAAGAATCTGCCATAAAAAATTACATATATTAAACCAACATGGTTGATTCAACTTAATCTGCCATGTGACATAAAAGTTGTTATTCGGCATTGATTCTATTCTTTAATCCTCTTTTTGTTTTCTTTTCTGATCAAATTTGACTTTATTACATATCTTTATAAGTAAAGGTGGGGGTGCATAACTGCATATGTAATAGTCAGGTGTGACGGGGTTCAAGCAAAGAGCAGGAATCTTAGTGGATCATAATTTTCACCAAAACCTTACCTAATTAATTAATCATACTAATAATTTTCTTCATAAATCAGATCAAGCAACCCATTCCTAAGAGGTATTCACAATATTTGACTCACGTGACGCCATGTGAGTCTGTAGGAGCAATTTTTTAATTAATGGCATATCTACTGGTACCGTACTCACCCCCTTTCCTTTATATCTTATTGTTTATAGTGGACAGGAATACATACAACATATACTATATATGATGATCACAGAAAGTGATCAAACCAAAAGGGACAATCCAAATATTAAGTATCTTTGTCCCTGTGATTATGATAATCACTTTGTCTGACCACGTATTTGCGTGTGTGCTCGTGATCCTAAATCTCATAGAACAAGAGCGAGCACGAGAGAAATAGAGTTCAGGACATTACTGAAAGTGCCTAAGTAGAGGTACTTGTTCTCATAACCGCGCCCAATTCGTGCTTCCCATCGCCCATTATGATGATGCCTACAAAAAAATTAAATGATAGAAAATAATTTTAATAAGACATTCAAAGAATCATAGATGTCAACCAGTAGTATATTGCAAAACATCAACTGTAAAAATCTACAGACTAAATGCAAACAAATTTGCAGAACAAATGGAGCACTAACAATTATGCATAGTAAAAGAACACAATCTATTAAATTACTTTAGTTTGAAGTTTGAAACTTCAAAGAAACCATGGTATTTCAAAAAAAAAAAAAAAAGTCCCAAAAAACTTTTACCGCAAATTGTATCCAGGCTTTGAACAGTGCAATAGTATTTCACTGGGTGGAAGAACAGATCGCATAAAAGCAGGCTTTGCAGGTGAACAACTATGTCAAGTTGACTGCACTCCTACGCCAATAACATGAAGTAATAATAATCTCCTTACTTAACTAAACTACATAGAGAAAGTAAAAGACAATTTCCTACACGCCAGAGAAAGTACATAACCTGTGAGGCTGTGATACCTTCACAAGTATCCGCCTACTTCTAAAGGTCAAAGACCCAAAGAGAAAAAGTTCAATATTTGCTCCATAATTATACCGTACATAATATTGAAAAGATCCCAGATGATTAAACCTAGAATTCCAATTACAATATCACTTCTCTATTAGGACATAAGCTAGAGGCCTGGCTTATCATGCAACGCCTTCTCGGTTTTTTAGTTTTTAAAAGTTACTACTGGCTTAAATTGCAAAGTTAACAATTTATTCATGCGTTATTGACTATGCTATTTAGGCTTGGGTATGCCGGTATGGTACATATCCGTTTTCAGGGACTATGCAATATGCTCAAATGACTATGCTATTCTACAGACTGTTCAAAGATGCAAACAAGCAACCAGTAGTATATTGCAAAACAGCCATATAAATTCAATGACTATGCAATATGCTCTGATGAAAATTGACTTCAAAAATTCAATGACTGAAATTCACAAGTATGCAATATGCTCAAATGAAAATTCAATGACTGAAAATTATAAAAATTCAATTAAATCTGCCATATAAATTCTGATTAGTGAACTAACACTAAACCTGAAATTAAACTAAGTCATTATTCAAGTTAAATACTACATTCTATCTACCATGAAAAGATTGAACATAAATAAAAGCAATCTTACCATAGGTGAAATTGATTTCTAAAAATTCAACAATGTCGAGCCGAAATCGATTTTTGGGGGCGAAATTAAGCGATTTTCCACTCGAAAATTCAAAAATTCAACATTGCTGTAATTTGCTTGAACTTCCTCGGGTTTTTGGGGGCGAAATTAAGCGATTTTCCACTCGAAAATATCACTTATTGCTCGAATTTTTTCAGCAGGATTTTTAATTGAATTTTTTGAGGTTTCTAGGGTTCGAATTCGTATGGAATTGAGTACATTTTTTGCTCGAAATGGGGGATTTTTTGTCGAAAATAATCAATTTTCTGGGGTTTAAGGGTTCAAATTAATTAGGGTTTTTGGTTTAAATTTTTGCTCGAAATTGCTCGGATTTGCTGCCGATTATGGGTGTTGAACTTGATTGCGATTTTGGATGTTGAATTTGCTGGGGAATTGCAGTTTTTTGGGCGAATTTGTGGGTGTTTTTTGGGCGAATTTGTTGGATTGAAGGGTCGAAATTAAGCAACTCTGTTTAGTGAATTAGTGAAAGTGAAAAGCTAAGGTCAAAAAAGCAAAGAATGGGTAACCTAAGGTGCAACTGAGTTATTTGCGTCACTTTATAATAAAAATGCGACGCAAATAACAAAATCTGAAATGCTGAAAATTTGTTATTTGCGTCGCTCATTTATTAAAAGAGTGACGCAATTTATTCACTGCCTTATTTGCGTCGCTTGTCAGTAAATGAGTGACGCAAATAAGTTTATTATTTGCGTCGCTTCAATAAATAAGAGCGACGCAAATGATAGAAAGCTAACATACACTTGTTTTTTGCGTCGCTTCTTTAATAACAAGTGACGCAAATATGGCGACGCAAATGAGCCTTTTTCTACTAGTGTTTAACCATCTTTTTGTCTGGAATGAGCTCTTATCCAAACCAAATGTCGAGGCACGTCTCTAACTTGCACTCCTTGTTTCTGAAGTTCAGCAGCCTGACAATACAGATAACACAATGCCATTTAACAACTAAAAGTCTTTCCTTAATTGATTATTTATTGTTATTCCTTAAAAAAATCAACAAAAAATCTGACATAATCATTTCAGTTCAGCAGCCTGACAATATAAATAACACAATGCCATTTAACAACTAAAAGTCTTCCCTTAATTGATTATTTACTGTTATTCCTTAAAAAAAATCAACAAAAAATCTGAGATAATCATTTCAGTTCAGTAGCCTGACAATATAAATAACACAATGCCATTTAACAACTAAAAGTCTTCCCTTAATTGATTATTTACTGTTACTCCTTAAAAAAATCAACAAAAAATCTAACATAATCATTTCTAAACTTACAATCTCTTGTTCATAATACAAGTACCCTTTTCGACCTCCTCGATATCTTGAAGTGTTCATTTTTGCCCTCTCTCGATTCTTGTCACTTAGTTTCTTTCAATATAATAATGTACAAACAATTAATTCCCAGTTTTCAAAGGTTTTTTCATAAATATGATTAGTTATGGGCTATAATTCAAAGATTACCTTAAATGTATCATCAGTATATGTTACAATGAACTTGGTCCAATTAGCTTGTGTTATAAATGTATATATCGAAGGTGGCTTCTTTATAATCACATTTGGATTTACTCCCTTGGTGTCGTACATCCAATCCTTTCTTAATCTGGACTTGAAAGCTCTCCATCGGATTAAAGCTATCCCTAATACATAATTTCTACGTTCTTCCGGCACTATAAATCCTCTCTACACAATTCAAATAAAAGATATTAGATATGACAATACGTAAATTCATATATTAAAACAATACCTGAATTCGAATAAACAAGATTTTATGAGGCTTGATCATTCTCTGGAAGCCACACTGCAGTCTTGATTTTCTTTTTTTTCATCTTTTTTTAGGAACCCCATCAAGGAAGAAATTATGTAGATAAATCAGATTCAGCTATATCAATAATATCATCAATGATAAAATGGAACGAACTAGAATCTCATCAATGATTAAATGGAACGAACTCCTTCCCTCTGAGCTGTTTTCAAGGCCTAGATAACCAACTGTGAATCACTCTATGATTATTTTCATCAGCCAGCCTCTCTAGCAAGCTGTAAACCCCACCAGATAGCTTCAGTAGCCTTCAATTCCCACCTATCACATCACTGGACAAACAAGTGGGAAGAATAATCCCAGCATGCGTATGCACAATAGCCTCCTGTACTTATTTACATATAAGCATACAAGTGGGATGAACACAAACAAGCACAACAATCCTTCACTTTTTGAGTCAGAACATCAGATAAACTGGTGAGTCAGAACATCAGATTTAAATTGGTAATACTTGTAATTTGGTATTACAAGCTTACTTTATTTGTTTTTGAATGGCTTAGTAATGTAGCTTTTGATAGGTTTCAAAAAAAAATGTAGCTTTTGATACACCAGATAAATCCCTCACTTTTGCTTCCGCTGTTGTGGTGAGTAATTTAAATTGGAGTTTTCTATCAGGACATATGCTCTAAAATTGCTTGCCATGGATAAAAGGCCTGTTCCTCGTGTTGCTGCTACAATTAGAGCATGGATGAATATGTTATTATCTCTGACAAATTAGATTTTATCAATACTATCATCCTAAATGATTCTATTTATCATTATATTGCAGACCCCTGTTTACACCATTGCTAAAAAAGTTGGTGTGGAGGGAGCTCTTATTGTTGGCAAGCTATTAGAGCAGGAACAGAAACCACATGTACTTGTAGCTATATTTAAACATGGCACATGTGACTGTATTTCTAATCAAGAGATAAGAAAGAACATCACAATGGCTATTAGCTACCAGTCATTACATGCGGTCAGTCTCAATGGTGGCAATGGCATTGAAATAAACTAGATTTTTTAAAAAATTTCACTAAAAGGCACAAAGTTTAAATCAATGTGTTAGCATTAAGAAGATATGTGAATTTCATGGGGAAAAACAAAAAAAAAAAAAGAAATCCAACCCTACCAGATTCTCCAATTCACAGGCTACAAACAACATAACAAAGTATTCTCCAATTCTGCAACTAACTCATGATCATGGAAGTAATAAAAAAGCCTTTAATCTTACCGTAATGAATTTAAAGAGGTCATCAATAACTTCTTTCGGAACATCCTCCCAGTCGCGATAATTTATATTCACTCTTTCACGAACAACTACACCAATGTATGATGAAAAGATGTATCTATTTTCCCCAATTGGCACTTTATTGTGATTCCATTCCAAGGGGATTTTGACGCCACTCAGAATTGCTTTTCCAACTACTGCAGCAACTGTACGACCCCTTTGATTCTCACACTCAGCAGATTCTTCAGCCTCGCCAGTTTCAGAGGCCTCATTAGCACATGCTTGCTTTCTCTTTTTCGACATCAACCTGCAAACATACAAATATATTAGAAATCATCTCTAAGAAGTGTCATTAAAACCAAATAAAATAAAGCATCTGTCTAAAAACTTTATATGAAGAACAGATTATAAATTTCAATACAAGAACCACAAGAATAAGATTTTTTAGTAGCATAATAACCTGTACGAAGTCGCTTTTTAGGTCGATTATTAGCATCACTATTTTTTTTGTCATGCCAAGTCCCTTCCTCATGATCAATACGTATATATGTTGTTGTATTATCAAGACTATCATCCACATTTTTGAAAGGAATGGTGTCCTTCGAATAAGTGTATTATTCTGATAGCGGGTTCAAAATTATTAGAAAGCTAATATATTCAGTAAGGTCAAGTGATCGAAATACCTAGGTGGAGGCCGCTTCCGATCAGTAATATTAATATAATTAATATTACAGCTTAATCTTGACTGAACCCTTTGGGTCACACCCAAGCAAAATATACGAACCGACTCGACGAATTAATTCGAAAGAAATTAATTCGTCGCCCGAGTTTAAATATTTAGACGTCGGTAATTCGAGCTTGGAGCGTCGAAACCGATCGTCGGAAGTCGATTCAAAAATAATAAAAAGACGAGACGCGCAAAATAATAATAAATCGACCATATTCCCAAAATACCCCTAGTATAGGAATGCCCCGAGCATCCGAATGCTAGAGGAAAAAATGTCCAAGCATAGGTGGTTAGCAAGTGCACCAAGCCGAGCCTAGCATGGATGGCTAGGTGCGTGCTAGCAGCCACGCACAGCAGCAGCTAGCAGCCGCGTGCACGTGGTGCGTGCAGCAGCTAGCTGCCTCAAGCTAGGCGTGCTAGCAGCGTACACACTAGAAGCCACGCACAGCAGCAAGCCCGCACCAAGTGCGTGGCTTGCGCGCACAGCAGCAACCCGCATCTTGGTGTGGGGCTGGGCTCGTGGCTGGGCCATAGGGCCGCTAAATATGGGGAAGCTTGAGGAATATGGGAGAAAGTGGGTAAGGACATGTGGCACAAGTAGAGTATTGAGTGGGGAGCAAGTATGGTCCCCTACTCTCCATGTGGTCCTCACCAACCCATTTCACATGGTAATGCCACTTGTAGATTTATTATTAGTTTGCAATTTTAATTTATTTTAGCTTTAAATTAATTTGTGGAATTTCATGATCCCACATTGATGGGATAGAAATTCCCACTCATACTTTCCTCTATAAATACCAACCTTGGGATTTGGAGTAAAGTGCTTGAGTGGGAGTTAGAAAGAGCATTTCATATTTTGGGAAAAACTCTTAAAATCCATTAACACTTGGGTTTTGGTCGGACCTTGCTAACTCCAAGGTAGCGGACCTAAAAAGTCGTGTTCGTCCTTTGTGGGTGGATACCGTTGGAGGCACGACATTTGCGGTGCTCAAGGCTTTTAAGTAAGAGCCCGTTTTGAGAGGGCGAAGCTTGCTTCAAGGGTATGATTCGTTCTTCCTTTTCTTGTGTTTATTTATTTATGCTTTATGGTTTTATTAATTACGAGTGGTTCCTTGGGTCGGGGTTGTTTCCACGGTGAGTCGGACTCACCAAACCCCAACAGCGGTATCGGAGCCCCGCTCGTTTATTTTTATAATCATGTTTTTCAAGGTTTATTTTGGCTTATTTTTCTGTTTTAAGTTGCTAATTAGATTAGTAGCTCGGTTTTATTTATTTTAATCCCGTTTTTAATGTTGAATTTGGCCCAAAACCCAGATTTTCGCCCAAAAATAGTGAATTTTTGGTGGAAAAGGTGTTCTGGAAAGGTTTTTACCCCTTTGGACCTGGGATTTTAGCCAAATTCTGACCAGAAATGCCTTTTTCGAGGGATTTTTCGTTTTTGACGAAAAATTTTAAGTCTTTTCTAACCTTAAAATTAATGGCATAACTTGTTGATTATGTGGTTGATTATTTGCATTATTTTCTGCTTTTTTTAAGTCCCCTTAAAGCATACTTACTTGGTAGTATTTGATGCTTAAAGATTGATTTATTTTCACATAATTGCAAACTAATTGCTTTTTAGTGTTAAATTTTTTGTTTTGAGGCTTCCTAAGTGTTAAAGATTCAATCTTTATTTGTGATAAGTGATTGAAACTTTAAAAAAAACTAAATTCCATGTTATTTTGTATTAAACTTTGTTGTTTTAATCATTTTGAGTTGATTGGAAACATAAAGTTTCAATTTTTGTGATAGAAATTTGGTTATCCTCATGTTGGAAGATATAATTTTCAAGGATTCACAAAATTTAGATGTTGGAGTTTTTATTTGAACATTAAAGTTCATATTTTTCCAACTTCCCCTTACTTTGTCAAATTCTCAAGTTTAATTTAAATTGATTAAATTAAAAGTGAGAAATTGCCTCAACTTTGTTATTGCACCAAGCTAAACCAATTTAATTAAGAATGGTTCTTGGAATTATTTTGGTTATTTGCACTTTGAAATTTTATTAAGTTAGACTTGTTTAAAATTTTATTTTTTGCTCATTAATTTAGTTCTAAAATTAATTAATTATATCTCGCGAAATGGGATCAAATCCCGAGGCCATGGCACGCAAAGCGAGGCAAAGAATCACCCTTGGCTAGCCGAGCTGCATAGCAGCCCGCATGTGGCTGCCCTGCCTTGCGTGCGGCCACACGCGCGGCAGCAGCACACGGCCGCAGCAGCCACGCACCAGCAGCCATGGCTGTGCGTGCGGCAGTGGCAGCAGCCCATGGCTGCTTGCCGCGGGCCGTGTGTGCGGAGTTTTTTTTTGTGTGCATATGCTTGGTGCGGTGAGGTGAATAGCCGTAGTATGCTTGGTTTGCATGAGCCGCAATTATTCGAGTTTCCTTGGCAAAACGCTTAAAGCGAAAGAAATGCGGTTAGCTTAATATTGCTTATTTTGCCGTTTTATTTATTTTAATTAATTTTGTTTATTTTAATTAAAATTTTGGGAGGCTAGGCCTCCGTTTTGAGCGGCATTGGCAAAATTTTATTTTGACAAGTTTGGGTGCTACCGACTTAATTAATTGGATTAATTAAGGGAAATGCGGAATTTAGTGGGAGCTTCAATTATTAATGACGTCAATTACATAATCGGTTAAACAACTTTGACTAGTTTTAATTAGGCGTGTTAATCGGATTAACCACCTAGATTAGTTACTAGTTCACGCGTTGTTTAAATGCATTTTACTTGTTTGATATTGTAAATTGCATGGGCCATTCACAAATAGTGAATGGATGAATGGAATATGTATTCTCTCTCACGGGTTTTATGAAATGGCAACTAGTGGGACCCGATTAGGATAGAAAATACGGACTACGTGTCGTTATGTATTTTTGTAAATCTAAATACGGTCTACACACCGTTAAGTATTTTTGTACCTTAATATTTAGATTATTCCTAGTCGTAGACACTAGTATTTGCATAGTTTGGTTAAATCTTGAAGACGGCGTATCTTGGAAGACAAAGCCTTGAATTGCAAATGAAGACCTTTTGAAGATTTGAAGAATTCAAGGGGTCATGCTAGTTGCCAATATGCATCTATAATTTCGCTTTTTTATTTTATGCTTATATACATGTGAATTATTCGTTAGATGCATGTTTAGGTTTTCTTTATGTTGCGATGATTAGTTAAGTTCACTTAAATCAACCAACAAAGAAATCCTAGGTCCCTAATAATATTAAGTCAAACTTGCCTTTCCAAAACAACACTTACCAACCGAACGAGGGTGATGGTAGGCTATGCCAAAGCGAGGTTCCGTCACTTCTCCAAGGCTCATAAGGCACACCGGGTGTGCACGTTGGTTTTGGTTTAACTCATCGGTATGAGTGAGGAGTCCTCACATACCGTGGCAAAAGAGATACATCGTCAAAGATGCATTAGATGCGACGATTGTCTAACCAAGAGTGGCTTAGAGCCATTAGCAAGGCAATGCTTACCCTAGAAGATTGAGTGTTAAGACAAGCCAAAGCATGCTTAACCACTCTTTGTTTCTTCGGATCTTGGAATCGCCTTATTTTCACAAAATAGGGACAATTTTACGTGTAAATAAGACGCTAAATAAGTATTGAAAATTTACATGAATAAAATTCAATCTTATTTAAGTAATTTTGAATGTTTTTTCATTAAAATTCTTTCAATTGTAGAATCGTGTCTTCAACTGATGACAACGACCTTATGTACCCGGAACTTCCCGAATAGTTACCATTTTTTCTCAATTTGGTGAACTTTAAGGATGGGAAGATGAACTCCGAAAGACACTCAGAAATTGCTACCTAGAGCATACCTTGGACACTCCGATCCCCAGTTTCTACTCGAAAGGGATCATGAGTGATGAAGCTCATGATGAATGAAGCATGGATTGCAAGAGAGTTTCGAAACTCATGGCAAACTCCATCCCGATACAATGGAAGGAGATTTTCTCTGGCTATTTTCCGGACATGATGCTCAAAGCACTTGAAGATGTAGTCAATTTTAGTGTCACCAAAAGTTCTAGGGGCAATTATGATGGTCACGTTGAGGATGTGACTAGGTCACTCTCCAAAATGAGGATCAAGCCACCGCAAGATGGTTGTCTCTCGAAAGAAAGACAAGAGGTGTGAGGAAAAGTCTATAATGCGAGACTTAGGCCCGGAATGCCACTTCAAGCTCATGTAATTAACATGACAAGGTTATTCAACCATCTGGAGCTAATTGGCAAACCAGTGGAAGACGAGCAAGCGGCTCACATGCTTCTTAGCTCTCTTCACTCGGGATATGTGGGGCTTAAAATGCGTCTCACCGCCAATAGGGATACACTGTCCTTAAGGGAAGACATCCAAGAGCTCCAAAAGACCTATTCTTGCAAGAAGGCTAACTTTTCCCTTAGACCAAGGAAGAAGGAGTTCAAAGACAAGAGGAAGATGCGCTGCTTCTATTGTGGTAACCCCGGACACTACAAAAGAGAATGCAGCAAGTATCTGGATGATGAGGCGAAAGGAAAAGTAACCTCAACCTCAAGTATCATCTTAAAC